AAAATTTTAAAAAAAAGGGTTGGTGAGATGGCTCAGTGGTCTAAAACACCTACTTAGAACAAGCTTAGCAAAGCACAGGGACTGCGGTTCAATCCCCCAGCACCACATGCCAGCCAGCCCCGCCCCCTGGTGGGCTGAGCTGCCCCCCCACATAAATAAATAAATAAATTAAAAAAAATAAATAAAATAAAATTTTAAAATATTAAGATGCATAAAACATATTTTACATTGTGGCTGAGATATTATAATTATCTGTAGGAATGTGGAAAATTCTTTCTCAAAAGGAACCATAGCTATAACAAATATCTCTTTTGCGTTCTCACCTCCAAAGTGCTTACCCATTGGTTGTCTCATTTAGGTCCTATGAGCCCCTTTGCACCAGAACAAACCCCCTGGCAGATCTGAGACTTAAGAACAAATAATATAACCGATGACACTTCTTCTTCAAACCCTAATATTTCTTCTTTTTCATTTATCTCCCTCAAATGCTAAGCTTGCTCTTCTTTACTGCTTTTAAGTATCCTGAATATAACACACCCTCAGTCTAGTACTATAATCTTTGCTGTTTCATAGCAAAGGAAACTGAGGCCTAAACAGGTACAATGACTTGTCCGGATACTGAGGTCACTAAGAAGCAAGATTTAGGTTCCAGTGCAGGTCTATGGGGAGTAAAGGTATAATCACAAAACTCTTCTGCCCATCTGGCTTATTTTTCTGGTTCTAGAAAAACAGCAATGGCATCAGAGAGAAGTTTGGGGAACTTCCCGTGAGCCTTTGCTCCTGGTGGTCCTTGCCAGCAACAGCTGCCCAAGGCCTTGGGCCCTTCTCACCAGGCTGACCGGGAAGGGGCAGGCATGGTGATGCCTGTGTAGAATCAGGAGCCCCAGCTCACAGACATTACACACAGGCACATCTGGGCGCACGTGCACACACACACTCCTTAAGCTTAGAGATGGAACCAGGTGACTACATTATGCCAGGGTTGCATTTTAAAGACATTATTTTATTTCTTTTATGGGACTTGATATAAGCTTTTGGAAATGTATTTTTATGAGATTCAAAGATATTTATTTTACATGCCCTTTAAAAAGTGCCAGTACCATAAATAATAACAGCTAACATTCAATTCCTGTTATACACCAGGCGCTACGCTAAGGCAGGGGAAAGAACCCGGATGCGCACTCTTGAGGGAGAAGTGACCTCAACTGGGACGCTGTAGCACTGCGGGACAGCGCCTGTTCTGTGTCTCCGGGCAAGTTGTTTTGGCTCTGTGGGCCTCAGTTTACCTATCTCTCACATTCCTGCATTGGAGTGGTTATCCTCAAGCTCCTGGAGAGGAGGGGTTTCCCTGAGCAGTGCTTAGCACAACTGGCGCATAACTGTTATCATCTGTACAGGAACGGCATCTTCAGAAATGCAAATCAGTGTGAAGGCTTTAGCGGCAGAGGAGACTGCAGATAGGGCTTCCCTAAAACCTGGAGTTTCTGCCTTTCCACAGGGTTGCTCTCTTGCTTCCTACTAGGAAATAAGGCAGTGTTGCCGGCTGGCGTGGGTCCTTGCTGTTAGTAATAGTATAAATGAAAATGAATGTACGTATTTACAGAAAAAAAAGCGTTTTAGTGGAAAAGTTAAAGAGAGAAGATAGGAAAGGACTCTCGCTTCGCTGACTGAAGAGGACACACTCTGATATGTGGTGCAAGGTTAGCTGGTGGGCCAGGATCCAGCCGATCACTGTCTCAGTTCTGGAGTCTTGGTGGCTGGGGAATGGTGTTGTTCCCAGGTAATCACAGGATTAAGACAAGCAGGTTCAGGACCCTGCTGGAGATGTCTCCAGCATACTTGATGTTCCTAGAAATCGCCTATTTTGTTGTTTTCAATCTTGAAGGGGTGAGGTTATATAAATTCAGGATTAATCAAATTTGTTTTGACAGTTTCTATATAGACAATCCCTAAATGCATAGCATATCAATATGTAGAGCTGAGAAGCTATTTAACTCAAGTGTTACAGCCACGAAGAACACAAAATGAAAAGTCAAACTTTGTTTTGTTTTTAGTTAACTATTGGGCATCTGTAGACCCAAGTGAAGAGTTAAGGTTCACAGCAAAATGACTTTTAAGTCCCCAGCTATCCCAGAAGGAAATACAAATCATGGGTTTTTTTTTTTTTTTTTTTAATTTAATTTTTTGTGGAACCAGGGATTGAACTCAGGCCCTTGCGCTTGCCAGGCAAGCGCTTATTCTACTGAGCCATCTCCCCAGCCCCCAAATCATGGTTTTGATGGGCAGCCAGCCAGCTAGGATCTGAGATTCTGCCTGTTTCCCCCTTTCTTCTTCCTCTTTTTTGTTTTTTTGTGCGGAACCGGGTATTGAACTCAGACCCTTGTGCTTGCCAGGGAAGTGCTTATTCTACTGAGCCATCTCCCTGGTCCCCATTTCCCCCTTTCTATAGTGAGGCCTGCTTATGTTACTGTTCTTATACAAACCAAATGGGCTGTGTTTGCCTACACCTGAGAGAGGTAGGAACCTGATTACCCCTTAGGTAGATGTCTCCACTTAGTTTGTTTTGGGATCTTGGGGTCTTTCTAACCTTTTACCAATAGTCTGAACCATCTATAGACCCTGGCTGTTATCAGGATACTTAAGGATGTGACATTCACTTGAGCTAAAATTTGAAACCACTAGTGGGGAATCTTATCTGTAGCTAAAGATTAAGGCAATGAAGAAAAGTCACATCCTTGCATTTTGAGTCAGGCTGCCAGCCACCTCTTTCCAGCTTGCTGATTTCTTTGGGCCTAACACTTCTGTGGCAGCAGCACCCGTGTCTTGTGTCACGTTGGCTCACAGGAGTGCTCACTGCACGCCAGACACTGTACTAAGACACATACACTAAGTAGCTCTGTTAGTCTTCTCAGTCACACTATGCTCATCTCCATTTTGCAGATGAAGACACAGAACACTGGCCCCTGCGCTCTGACTAAAGGTTTTCAAGAAAAAAGCAAAATCTGCCCAAGGCCCCATTGCTGGTAGATGACTTAAGTTGAGACTCCAAACTGGCACTGGAACCCCAGGGTCCTCATTCAAACCCCTCTGCTTTCCCTTCCCCAACAGACTGAGAACGTGGCTTTGGGAACAGGTAGGAGAATGCGTCCAACCCAGGGTGAAGGTGACACTTGCCTCAGCCTTTTTGCAGTTACTAGAATTAATTCTTACACCCACATTCTGAGGCATGTGTTGCAGCAGCCTGCATTATTCCTTATTTGAAATACTTGGGGCCAGAAGTGTTTCTGACTTCAGAGTCTGTTTGGATTTGAAATGGTTGAATAGACTTTACCAGTTGATTAGCCCTAGTCCAAAAATCTCAAATCCAAAACTTTCTGAGTGTCATGGGTGTTGTGTTTTGATAGATGGAGAACCTGAAGCTCAGAGAGGTAAGACAAGTTGTCTAAAATCAGCCAGCCAATGTGGGACAAAGCCAGGCCTCCAACCCAGGACCGTCTGATTTTAAAACTTTGCCTTTGAGCCACCATTTCTCAGCCATCACCCTGCTGGTGTTTGGGGCTGGAAAATTTTGCGGAACCAGGGATTGAATTCAGGCCCTTGCGCTTTCCAGGCAAGCCTCTTATTCTCCTGAGCTATCTCCCCGGCCCCTGGAAAATTCTTGATGTGGGAGACTGTGCTACGAAGTTTAAGATATTTGCTAGCACCGGACTGCTATCCAGGAGATGTCAGGAGCACTTCTTCCCCCAATTGTGACAGACAAAATTATCTCCAGGCATCATCAAATGTCTCTTGGACTCAGAAATGCCCCACTGAGAAGCTCTGCTCTAGCTACCAGGCCTCCAGCGCTAGCACCCTGAGCAGAGGCTCTGCTGATGGGCTCGAGACAAAGGCAAGGAGAACTGAATTCACTTCCATGCTCAGATTTTGAGTCTAAGGGCAGTTGTTCCGCATCCTGTGAGGCTGAAATTGGCCCTCAGCACGGTGAGGTAAAAACTGACTCTCCCAGCCTGCTGGGCCAAGCCCAGGACAGCCACAGGGTCTTTTACTGGGCACTAACTGGTATTCTCTGCCCTGGGGGCTTCTCCCTTCCCCTCCCCTCCTGCCTCCTTCCTGTCTCTCCCACCCTGAGCCAAATTTGTCTGGTGGCCATTAAGGAAGCTGCCTGATGCTAATCTCCCAGATGGAGTTTGGCTTTATCTCTACTCTTGGATTCTAAATGGGACTAATGACCATTTGAGATCAGACTCCACCAGCTGCTTTGTCCTTGTGGTGCAGGAGCCCCAGCTCCGGTCTCAACTAACCCTGTCCCTGAGGAGAGTTAGAGATCTGGGATTCTTAAAAATGCCTCCCTCCAAATCAGCACCCAGTTGCAAGCTGTAGCCAGTCACAGCTGTTTGGGTTTCTTATATGGGGTTCAGATCCTGTGGTCCTGTTTGCCACACAGAAGCTGCAGAGGCTCTTAGCGAATGTTCATTGAATCCACTCTACTCTCTGTCCTGCACCTCCCCCAACCATAACCCAAAAATTGATGCTTCCCCTCGCTCTGTGCCAGACACACAGGCACCTTCTGTCCTCACCCCAGGGCCTCTGCGGGTGCTGTCCCCTCAGCCTGGCGCTCTTGCTGGCTCTCTTTGCCCAGGTAATTCTGCTCCTGCTTAGGGAAAGGCATCCCAGACTCTCACTCACCCCAAGCCTGGTCCAGAGGCACTGTCCATGTTCTTACAGCAAAATCTCTCTCCTTCCTCACTCTCTTCTCAGTTCAAGTGCTTATTTGGGGGTATTTGTTTAAATTCATCTTTCCCAGGAGACTATAAGCTCCATAATGGACTGGTGAGTCTGGTTTTGCTCACCAATGTTTTCCTAGTCAGATATTGTGGTACACACATGTAATCTCAGGACTCCCGGAGGCTGAAGCAGAAAGATCACAAGTTTAAACCCAGCTTGGCAACCTAGCAACTTCTGGAAATTCAGCTACATTCCCAGCCCTTTTATCTTTTATTTTGAAATAGGGTCAGGGTGGGCACAAACTTGAAATCCTCCTGCCTCATCCTCCCAGAGTATCGAGGTTATTGAATGTGCCACTACCTGGTAGAACAGAAGTTTAGTTGTTTGAGTTTCCAGTTGCATTTCAATTTCTGACTTAAACTGAGGAATGATCCAGTTTCTATGATTATGTGTCACCTTGTGTGGGCTAAGGGATCCATAGCCAAGTTGGCTTTATCCACCTTCACTGCCCAGCCTGCCGCAGCAGCACCACCATGGCAGCGGCTTGGGGTGGAAGCTCTGGGCATCCAGGCTTCTGGAAGCATCTGTGACAGCATCTGAGTTGGCCAACTGAGGAAAGGCCTGCCCCTCACCCAGGTAGGTAGGGGGCACCATCACCCACCTTTGACCTGAGTGGATGTTGGCACTTCCTGTCCTCGAGTCTTCAACCTCCGCATGACACCCATATGATTGTCTCTTGGTTCTCAGGCCTTCTGGTGTGGTCTTCAGCTTGCAGTCAGCAGATTTTGGGCCTGCTCAGCCTCTGTAATCAGGTGAATCAATCTGTCATAAAGCTCTTTCTAATGTAGCTCTATCTATTTTATTGGTTCTGTTATTCTGGAGGATCTTGACTAATACCAAGATTTTTTTTTTACTTATCCCAAATCTCTCTAAGCTTTCTTATTCTTATTATAAAATAGGAGCTATTAATAACATCTAGCATATAAGATTATGCTGAGAAATAAATGAAGCAATACGTATATGTTCAGAGCACTGAGAATGTTAGTTTTCTGCTGCTCCCTGTCCTGTTTGTGCTTCTGTAGAAGGGCACTCATTCACTCACTCAACACACAGTGCCCAGTGACACCAAAATTCCATCAGTTTGAAATGGAGCCACTGCCATGGGCTCTGGGTTCTAGAGCTGAAGTTTGAAAGGCCCAGTGCTGCTGCACCCTCTTTCTTTTTTTTTTTTTTAATTTTATTTATGTGTGTGTGTGTGTGTGTGTGTGTGTGTGTGGCCAGCTCAGCCCACCAGGGGGCGGGCTGGCTGGCATGTGGTGCTGGGGGATTGAACCGTGGTCCCTGTGCTTTGCTGAGCTTGTTCTAAGTAGGTGCTTTAGACCACTGAGCCATCTCACCAGCCCCTGCTGCACCCTCTTTCTATCCTGGCTTACATCACAGTGAGTGTCCAGCACAGACACTTGCTGTGTATCGTCTCCTCTCTTCCTGGGCCCTACCTTCAAGGGGCCTGAGCAGAGGGTCCCCTACACTTGGTGTGGGACAATGGGAAAGATGACTCCAAGGGATTCTGGGTCCCTTCCTGATTGTCAAAGACAAGTCTGAGGTGGGGCACAGTGGGGAACAGCTTGGGCATCGTAGAGGTGGGAGAGGCCAGGCTGGGCCTCTGGACTCCTGCATCCATGTGGGTCACACGCTTACCTCTGGTATGCACAGCTGGCCCCAGGAAACTGATGCCAGCCAACCAAATTCACAAGAGACTGAAACATTTGAATTGGAATCTTACATTCAAGACGAACATATTTGTGGGGTTGGGAGGGATTATTCATCTCCAGTGACCAAAATCTTTGCACCTGTTACCCACAGTAGTCTTTTGTCTTTCATTTTCAGTTGAAAGAAATTTATATGCCAGGGGTATTTAAACACCAGAAGCAGGCCTGTTGTCAGAGGCCTGGCCAGAGGTAGACAGATGTCTGAATCCCAGCGGCCATCAGGGTGGACCACGGAGAAGAAGCAAGATTTATGAGGTGAGAGCCTGCCTGGGCCGCTGCTTCTGTCGGGAAAGGCCTCCCTGCAGTATTTTCTGTCTCATCAACACTGCATTTCATTTTAAATTGCAGCTGAAAGCAGATATTTTCCCTCTTGCCTATTACACCTCTTAATTTGTCTCTCCCTCTGCTGTTATTTGTCTCTATAAAGTGTTTTTGCATGAAAGACCCACACAGCACCACGTTGCTTTGCCCTGGGTTTGGTCTAACAGGAAGGGGAGACACAGGCAGAGCCCAAGGGGGAGCACCACGAGTTCAGTGCAGGTAGGCATGTGCTACTGGAGGTTAGACCTGGAACCCTCGTCTGGCGTCTGTGGGAGTGTGTGTGAGCACGCGTCAACATTTGCACGACTGTGCAGATGTGTCTGTGCCTAGTTTGGTAGAACTGCCTGGGTGTGTAATTGTTGTTGTGCAAGCACAATCCCCCAGCAAGTCTCTGTGATTTTTGACTATACGTAGCAGCACACGCATGCACATCCACACTTGGAGGCACTCAGGTACGCGTAGGTCAGCGACTGTGCAGTGTGTGATGTATATCTCGGGCCACCTTTCTCTTTTGCTTCTTAGCAAATTAGATAGCATCGCTCTCTTGCCCGTGGTGAGTTGTAGGGAAAGGGATTCGCAGCAGTGGTCTGCGCACCTAAGGACACCGCTGGGGTTGGCCGACTGAACTGCTGCCACATCCCTCTAGTTTGGCTTCGCTTCAGCCACCTCCACTGCCCAGCCTGCCGCAGCAGCACCACGGAGGCCGGCGGCTCGAGACGGAAGCTCTGGACACCCAGGGCAGCCTCCCAGGACAATCCTGGGCTGCCACTGAGGGGTGAGAGATGTCACCCAACGACAGACCGACAGAGCTCTGCAGGCTAGTCCTGTCTTCAGCCCTTTGGGGGGTCGAGGAGACCAAAATCTGGAGCAGAGCGGGCACGGTGGGGGATCTCGGTCGTCCCCAGGCCAGCGAACTCTGGGCAATAACCAATGGGTGACTGGGGCCCAACGGGGATCCCTCCGAGGCAGCCAATGACCTTGCTCCGCTCTCCACCCCGCCCTCGCCAACCCCACGCAGCTGGACCATTGGTGCGGGTGGGATGGGGGAGTGTGCGCGGCTCGAGCCCTCGGAGGGGGGCGTGGCCTGGGGTGCAGTCTCCTCTGTGCGCCGCGCTCGGCGCGCACGCCTCTTACCCGGAGCCGAGAGGCCGTTGGCCTGGCCGCGCGGCCGCGGGTGGCGGCTGTAGAGAAATCGCGGGGCGCGCGGTGGGCGTGGCCTGAGGGCGTGGCCCGGCGGGAGGCGGGGCCGCGAGCGCTGTCGCAGTGAAAGCCGGAGTGAGCGGTGGCGGCGGAGGCGTCCGGGCGGGTGTGC